CGATAATTTCAGTGCTTGCATGGAATACCTTACTAAAAATTGCTTATCATTTCCTTCTGCTCCACGTTGGGTTCGACACTCTTACTTATCGAAAGGACTAGATAGATCCCCTATACTTGTGGGTCATCAAGACTCTTTTCTGGCACTGTTGCCGGGGAGTGAAGCGCCTTTGGTAGGTGGAATTTGATAAGGAAAATTTTATATAGTGTGCTGAAATTTACTGTTACTTGTTACTATGGAAAGTAATTCTTTGAGGGGCTTGTTCGGGGTATCTTCACCCTGACTAGTAGAGCAAAGAGTTGCTCCTCAACCTACTGAACCTACTGAAAATGTTTGTTTTGAAATTCCTTTGGGTATGATAGAGAAACTGCTAGCTAATCCTTTTACAGGAGATGGAACATTGCATCCCGATTTGCACCTGATCTATGTGGATGAAGTTTGTGGATTATTTAAGCTTGCAGGTATGCCCGAGGATGTTATCAAGAAGAAGGTCTTCCCTTTATATTTGAAGGGAAAGGCATTGACATGGTTTAGGCTATGGGATGATATGGGATCATGGAACTACAACCGACTGAAACTGGAATTTCATCAGAAGTTTTATCCTATGCATCTTGTTAATCATGATCGTAATTATATATATAATTTTTGGCCTCACGAAGGAGAAAGCATCGCTCAAGCTTGGGGGAGGCTTAAGTCAATATTATATTCATACCCCAATCATGAGCTCTCAAGAGAAATTATTATTTAAAAAATTTATGCTGGACTTTCTCTCAGTAATCGCTCCATGCTCGATACTTCTTGTACTGGATCTTTTATGATGAAGACTATTGAATTCAAATGGGATTTATTGGAAATAATTAAACGCAACTCTGAAGATTGGGAACTTGATGAAGGTAAGGAGTCAGGTATAACACCTAAGTTTGATTGTGTTAAATCTTTTATGGATACCAATGCTTTTCATGAATTTAGCACTAAATATGGACTTGACTCCAAGATAGTATCTTCTTTCTGTGAATCATTTGCTACTCATGTTGATCTCCCTAAGGAGAAGTGGATTAAATATCATCCCTCCATTGAAGTAGAAGTAGTTGAACCTATTAAAGTTGAAGAAAAGAATATCACTTATAATGTTGATCCTATTGTTCCTACCGCTTATATTGAGAAACCACATTTCCCTGTTAAAATAAAGGATCATGCTAAAGCTTCAACTGTGGTTCGTAAGAGTAATACTAGAACACCTACACCCTCTGAGCAAATTAAAGTTGAACCTAGTATTGTTATGGTTAAAGATCTCTTGGCCAATAATATTGATGGGCATGTTATTTACTTTTGTGATGAAGCTGCTAGAATTGCTAGACCCGATAATAAAAATAAACATAGACATGCTGTAGGCATGCCTGTTATTTCTGTTAAAATAGGAGATCATTGTTATCATGGCTTATGTGATATGGGTGCTAGTGCGAGTGCAATACCTCATTTCTTATACAAAGAAATTATGCATGATATTGCACCTGCTGAGATAGAAGAGATAGATGTTACAATTAAGCTTGCCAATAGAGATACTATTTCACCGATTGTGATTGTTAGAGATGTTGAAGTCTTGTGTGAGAAAGTTAAATATCCTATTGATTTTCTTGTTGTTGGTTCCCCACAAGATGACTTTTGTCCCATTATATTTGGTAGACCCTTCTTGAATATTGTTAATGCTAAGATAGACTGCAAAAAGGATATTGTTTCTGTTGGTTTAGGGGATATGTCTCATGATTTTAATTTTGCTAAATTTCATAGACAACCCCATGATAAAGAATTGCCTAGTAAAGATGAAATTATTGGTCTTGCTTCTATTGCCGTGCCTTCTAATGATTCTTTAGAACAATATTTGCTAGACCATGAAAATGATATGTTTATGAATGAAAGAATGTAAATAAATGAAATATTCTTTAAACAGGGACCTATTTTGAAACACAACTTACCTGTTGAAATTCTAGGGGATCCTCCTCCACCCAAGAGTGATCCCGTGTTTGAGCTTAAACCATTGCCTGATACTCTTAAATATGTTTATGTTGATGAAAAGAAGATATATCCTATTATTATTAGTGCTAACCTTTCAGAGCAAGAAGAAGAGAAAATATTGAAAACTCTGAAGAAACACCATGCTGCTATTGATATACTATTGATGATCTTAAGGGCATTAGTCCCACTCTATGCCAGCACAAAATAAAATTGAAAAAATATGCTAAACTGGTTGTTGATCACCAACGACGGTTAAATGCTAAGATGAAACAAATGGTAAGAAAAGAAATACTAAACCTTCTGGAGGCAGTTATAATTTACCCTATTGTTGATAGTCAGTGGATAAGTCCTATCCATTATGTTCCTAAGAAGGGAGGTATTACTATTGTTCCAAATGATAAAGATGAATTGATCCCACAAAGAATTGTTATAGGTTATAGAATGATAATTGATTTTCGCAAACTGAATAAAGCTACTAAAAAGGATCATTACCCTCTACCTTTTATAGATCAAATGCTAGAAAGATTATCCAAACATACACATTTTTTGCTTTCTAGATGGTTATTCTGATTTCTCTCAAATACCTGTGTCAAAAGAGGATCAAGAAAAGACCATTTTGCTTGCCCTTTCGATATCTTTGCTTATAGACGTATGCCTTTTGGTTTATGTAATGCACCTACTACATTTCAAAGATGTATGACTGCTATATTCTCTGACTTTTGTGAAAAGATTGTTAAGGTTTTCATGGATGAATTTTCCGTATACGGGACTTCTTTTGATGATTGCTTAAGCAACCTTGATCGAGTTTTGCAGAGATGTGAAGAAATTAATCTTGTCTTGCATTGGGAGAAGTGTCACTTTATGGTTAACTAGTAGAATGCCCGTGCGTTGCTACGGGTTTTTGAAATATTTGACTGAAGCTATATATAAACATAATGCATATTAACTTTCACATTTATACAAAAGATAATCTATAATTGTTGAAGTCAATTTCATTTGCGATGTAAATGATAAAAAGGCAATTTCACGGTGTATACATAGAGAATGATGATCCAATTAATAATCTGTTACAAATTAAAGTCTACTTGATGTGCTTATGATACTCTTGCACAATATCAAAAATGTTATCTTTAGTTGCATTCACATGATATTTAAGCATGTATAATATAACTACTTCCACAACTCTTAACCATTGTGCACAAGCAATATATGTAATTAGTACAAATATTTTACGTGGAAGACCTAAAAATATGCAACGGAGCTTACCGTGCAAACCAAACGAACCAATTTTTAACTGTTCCACCGAGCATAATCTAGAGCACGATTTTATTTTTATTTTTTTGGTTTTTTATGTTGTGAAAAAGTTGTATAAACTTTTGGCCCCTTCCAGCGATGTCGCCTCGGAACCCTTGTTGAATGGATTCGTTTTGAATGTCGCTAGAATACATCTCTCTCTCATATGCTACAAAAATAATCATATAAAATTGGACATTTCGTATTATAATGTATAACATACATATAAATAAGGATTATTTGTACGCACCTCTTCTCATGATATTTCAGTTTGGTCCGTCGTCATCGTTACATCAATGCCTAAGCCCGTTGATATTTTTAAAGCCTCCTTAGAATCCATCACTTCTTATCTCTGATGGACAAAAATAAAACATATAAAAATAAAAAATATTTTATATCATATTATATAAACATATAAAATATATTAAAATAAAAGTGAGAATAACACAGATGTTTTTATTCGAAAAAACACTGAGTACTCCTAATTAGTTTTTGTAGACAACCTGAGGCGTCCACCCACGCTGAAAACTCTTTAAGCACCTACAGTTATGGGTACGTCAAGAAGATGGGCTAAGCTCGAGCTTGCTACAATTCGAAGGTGTTTTCTTTTCCACCTAATATACATCCTTATCCTCACAGCACAGTGGCACCGCACAATTCCTCTCACTCTCTCAAGCTTACTCATGTCTGCGCCACCTCCCGTCAATTGACGACGTCCCGCATCCTCCACTCGCCTCCACGGCGCTGACTGTCCCCCCTATCCCCACCATCTCTCCTCCATGTCGTGCGCCGAGCCTGTCCTACCTTCCCTCGATGACTTCACCTGCATCCCCCACTCCCCGCCACGGTGGCTCGATTGGTTTGATCCACCACGGTACGGCATGCTTTACGCCCAGATCTACAAGGCGTCGGTTGTTGGGGGCAAAAGGACGACATGAGTTGTGGAGGTGTGTGACGTCGTTTACAACGTTGTCGCTTCTTGCTGCGTGACATGGCTGCAGCGCTCGACACGTCGGCAGCAGCGCACAGGCGCGCTGGTGTGGTAGAGCGCGACGGTGAAGCTGGCTGCACGCTGGGCGCGTAGTCTGGCCGTGGGAGACAACAGCTTGCTGCAGATTGCGCTGGCCGGCTTCCTGCTTGGAGATGTAGGAGTGAGATGCACGACACGACTCAAGGGTGGTGGCTTCTATGGACACGACAACTTGGTGCGGTAGCTGTCTGGCTACCTGACGCGAAGCTACACAACCATGGATTTCTCAAAAAGCTTTTATAGTATTTCTTTATGTAGGAATTTCTCGAAAAGCTTTTATATTTCTTTATGGAGGGAGTACGCATTAGCTGAAGCATTTCAGACTGAATGTTTTTTGAACTTCACAAGTCTACTACTAATTGATGTTGATATAAACAAATTGGGCAATGCATGTCACTGAGCAAGCACAACATGACAGTGATTTGATAAGTACACATGACAATCTTTCAACATAAGCTTCGTAGAGATTAGTTTGAGGGAGTACTACATTGCGAGTTTGATACTCCCTCCGGTTCCAAATACTTGCCGCAATGGCATTTTTCTGAAAACTCCCTCCACAATTGTCCGACATAACCTGCACTCCTCGAATCCCCTCCGACACCACACTCTGCTCCATCTCCATTTTCTCTCTGCCTGCTCGCCGGCCAGGCCACGCCGCCGCGCCATGCAGCTCCCCCGAGCCTCCTCCCGGTGCTCTCCCCCGCGCAGCTCCCCTGTTCTTTCCTCCGGACCAAAAATCACTTCTTTCCATCTCGATCTAGAGGGCATGGGGATGAGGGCGGCGACAAGCGTGCCTGTTGCCGCGGTGAGCTCGGTACTCTTCGCCAGATCCCTTCCCCAGACTCCGCTCCCGACAACAGCTCATTGCTGGGGCTTCCCCCCATGGACGAGGAGGAGGAGGACGAGTGCTGCCCGGCAGAGTTCTTCCAGCTGCTTCCTGGAGCGGTCCAGGGAGATGGGCAGCTCTCCTACTGCTGGTGCGGCAGTTCTGCCCGATGGACTTCTTCCAGCCGTCCTGGGCTGCATTAGCTGGTGGTGGCAGGGCTTCATCGGGCGGAGCTGCAAGTACAGATAACAGGTATACTTGTACAAGTACCTTTCTGACAGTTGTGTTCTGAACTCTGTTTCTGTAATTCACCATTTCCAATGCGTGTTGATGTTGGAGTATGTTGTTGGTGTTCAACTACAGATTGTTGTGGAAGAATTTGCAATGCGTGTATACAACAGTAATTCATCATTTTGCAAGCACAGATAGATCAAATGATGTTCATGTTCAAGTACTCTGTTGCTGTCGATGTTCGAATATGTTGTTGCTATTGATGGGATAGATATGCTCAATTGTTTTTTTATGTAATTACCTGTGCTCTCGTGCTCATAATTAAAAATCCAAGGTTAGTGGTATCTGAAAAATAAAGCATTGTGGCTACTTATTAGTGGTATCTGAAAATAAAGCTTTTGTAGACCTCCATTGTATCTTAAAAAGCTTTTGTAGACCTCTGTTATGTTGAAAAAGTAGTGATTAAAAATGGATGTTTCTGTGTACTCCTACAAGTCAAGATTGTACTCCTATAGGAAAAGATTGTACTCCTATTTATATAATATGCACTGCTTGCATACTTGCTCACTGTTTACATACTCTTTGCATACTCCTGTTTATATACTCTTATTTGGAGTACTTAGGATTCTTATATCAAGATTGTAGACTGATTGTACTCCTGTTTTTATAACTATTGTTGATTTCAACATGAGATGAAATAGCAAAATCGGTGATGCTGCTGAAGATAGAATTCTTATATCAAGATTGCAAGATTGTTTTCATTTTTTAGAAATACTGTTGTTAATGTTTGACTGCTTGCATTTCCAGCCTGAAGATAGCTAGTATCTTATTTACAATGATGCACTTCATGTGTTAGAATTGCGTAATCAGTAGCACAGTACTTCTAAATAATCTATTCATTGTATCTACACATATGTTTATTCATTCTATGACTCTGGTTATCATATTTTTTTAAATGAGCAGATCTGATATAAGAGCTCCTGCAGCTGTTATAGTTTTTTATGTGCAATATTTAATCTGAAGATATTCTATATTATATTAAACATAGTTTTTGCAGCTATTATAGTTTTTTTACCATAGTTTTTGCAGCTGTAATATGTAATCTTTAATCTGAAGATGTTCTATCTTATAGTTTTTGTACAATAGTAACCTACATGTATGCTTATTCATTCTATGTTTTTATTGTACATAGTTTTTGAAATGAGCTCTTGCAGCTGTTATATTTAATCTGAAGATATTCTCACTTATATTAAACAAATCTGTTTTTTTAATGAAGGGATTTTATGTGGAGCAATTTGACAGACTGCTTCCCAAAAGAGGTGGGAAACAATGGAACCATTGACATGCACATAAATCAATGGAACCTATGTAAGTGCTTTCTATTTACTTCTCCCTTAGATATGCACGGAAATGAAAAGAATATTCGAAGATAAAGAATTTAGTTGTCCCTAATCTAATACCCAAGCATCTATTCCAGAGAAGGTTTTTGCCTCAAGATTCACCCACTTGGCTGAAAAAGACCTTACGGTAAACCTATACATGGCACGTGGTATTAATTTGGGATGTGGTGGTGTACAAACGCCTCGTGGATTCATTTATTTCATTGAAATTTTTTGAACGGGTGTGGCATTTGGTTTGGTTGATTTAGCGTTTTTTGGTTGTGTTTGGCTCAATCTGTTCGTGTGTGTTTGTGTGTGCCTACGTGCTGTCCCTTTTGGCTGTTTGAATGTGGTTTCTTTCTCATGTGCTATCGCTTTCGGTTCTTCTGACGTGGTTGTTTTTTTAGCGTGTGTCACTGTCCATTCTAGCATATGTTTGAAACAGATAGTTCATCACGTTTGCAAAGCACAACCACTGTTAGGTTTGTCCATAATGGTCAAGTTATTAGTTAATATCAGAGTGGTCACAGGTAATAACAAGAAAGAGCTGTTAATGGGACGTGGGACACTAGATCAATCAAACTACTATAAAATACTCATGAATATAAACTGTAGAAAATTCAAGGCAAAAAGAAGAGATGGATTAGCTGATTAATCGAGTTGTTGCATGCATGCAGACTACAGATAGTTCATCAGGCTTGCAAAGCACAACCACTGTTAGGTTTGCCCGTAATGGTCAAGTTATTAGTTAATATCAGAGTGGTCACAAATAATAACAAGAAAGGCTGTTAACGGGACGCGGGACACCAGATCAATCAAACTAATATAAAATACTCATGAACATAAATTGTAGAAAATTCAAGGCAAAAAGAAGAGATGGATTAGCTGATTAATCGAGTTGTTGCATGCATGCAGACTAATTGGGTGAGGCCGCGTGGTAGCAAGCGGACCAATTGGAATTGGCCATTTGATTGCACTTGATTGCAGCTGTCAGGCGACAAAAGGTGTCGGCCGTAGCTATGTGATGAATCTGGGCTGCACAGTTGACTGGCTCTTGGTTCCAGATGCATGTCGGGCGGTGCCATGCATCGGGATCGGTCGAACGACGCGGTCCACCAATCGGAACTGCCTGCGAGAGTTGCGTTTGCTTCCAGGAGTAAAGCGACAAGATTTGTGCGCTGATCCATGCAGCGATGGCGGTGACGTGACAGGCAAAGCTAATCGGTCGAGGCGGTGCGGTTGCGCCGTCCGGATATTTCGCGCGGCGTTCGTTCCGTCGTTTTCGCCGTACAAACTGACGTATCCCTGCCGCTTTGTCTGGTATTTCTACATCCCTACCCCCGTTCCACTGCTGTGCTGAAGCCCTCCCTCCCTCTCTCTCTCTCTCTCTCTCTCTCTCTCTCTCTCAAGTGTCCCATACATAGTGTGACTGTATCTGAAGCGGGACTGCTTCTGTCTGGGCAGCTCAATAGTAATAGCGTGTGTTTCATCACCATCAGCTAGCGATCCAGGACTTCGTACTAAACTGCTACTAAATTCACAAGAGGGAGCATTTCAATAAATAAAAAAATCTATCGATGCTTTATAATATCATGCATACATGTAATGATGTATCAACAGTTCTTTTTAGTTCTACTTCATACCAAAAAATAAATTTGCAATGTCTGAACAAATATGAAGTATAAAATTATATTATGAAAGGGAATTTTTTGATTTTCAAAACTAATGAACTTGGGCCTGCTTACAACATGTATTCATCAGTTAACTGCACTTTTTTGGGGTAATTGCTCTTTCAAATCTCCATAAGAGGGCAAAAACACCACTCTTCTCGAGATGATCTCAGTCAGCTGGACGGGCTCCACACTTCCCGTGCCATTTTATATGTTTTAAATTGCACTTCAGAGAGCGTTCACCAGTTAACTGAAACTTATTGTGTTCTAAAATTTAATCCAGGTGGTGTCTTTGGACTAAGGCCACTCTGGAGTGGTAACATTAGCACAACTGATGGTTGGTTTTTTTCCCCTGTTGACATGTATCTCCTTTCTTTTGATGTGAATACATCAATAGAATAAGGGGTTTCTAATATTACTGTCTTACATAGTTCACAGATTATTGAAGCTTTTTGCGGCTATGGAAATCTGACCAGAGACTATTCGGTCTTATCTCTGAATTGAAGATAAGAAGTGTAAATGTTCAGATATGTATGTTACCCCTTTTGTAAACTAATATAGGACCGTTTAGACTACTACTTTAGATCACTAAAGTTGTGATTTAAACGGTCTTATATTAGTTTACAAAGGGATTACCTCCTAACCACTCTTTACAGATTTATTATCTATGAAATGCATCCAAGCAAGTCCTATCTTATCTGCAATTACCCCCTTAGATATCTGAAGTTTAGAGCTCACTATCCTTCCAGGTTCTCTACTGGTTGTATTTCCTTGACAACTTCGAGGGAGGAATAAGTACTGTTTGTCATTCTTTGACATGTATAATACAATACTAGAGATGCGAATTGTTGGAGTTCATTTAGTGGAGTATTAGTAGATAAATGATTTCTTTTCTTCGCATTCAACTGGTGTATATGTGTTTAGTCCATTCCCAAAATGATTTGTAAAGTTGCCTTAACAACTAAACAGCCTTCATGTGTATTGGTACTCTGTTTTTTGGGCAGCTGGAAGAAATCAGTTTATCAATTAACAAATATGGAACGGAGGGAGTAGTTAGTTAGGCATCACAGTGAAGCTTGGCGAAGGGGCATTTTTTTAGGCCTACAAGGCTGGATGCACTGTATCAAAGTGGTACCATCCGATGGGCATTCATTTGTCAACTACCACTTTTTTAGCTGTATCGCGTACCAAAAAATTGAATTGACAATGTCTGAACAAATATGAAGTATAAAGTTATATCATTGAAGAGAATTGTTTTATTTTCAAAACTAATGAAGTTGGATCTGCTTAAAGCACATATTCACGAGTTAACTTCACTTTTTAGGGTAATTGTAATTTAAATATCCACAAGAGGACAAAAACACTACTCTTCTGAAGATCATCTAAATAAGATGGAAGGGCTCCACACTTCCCATGCCATTTTATGTATTTTAGAATTTACTTCAAAGAGACTTCATCAGTTTGTGCTCTAAATTTTACTTTAGAGAGTGTCTTTGGACTGAGGCCACTTTAGCACAATTGATGGCTGCTTTTCCTCCCCTGTGGACATGTACCTCCTTTATCTAGATGTGAATATATCAATAAAACAAGGAATTTTTAATATTACTGTCTGACGGAGTTCACAAATTATTGAAGATTTTTGCAGCTATGGAGATCTGACCAAACAGTCTTCTATCCTACCTCTGAATTGAAGATGTATTGGGTCTGTATATGAAGTGTAAATATTCAGATATGTATGTTACCTCCTAACTTCTCTTTACAGATTTATTATCTATGAAATGCATGCAAGCAAGTTCTATCTTACAGACAATTACTCTCTTATAGATAAATCCGTTGATTCATGAATTAAATGGCCAGAGATCGGTGCAGTCAAGTGGATTGATACCTGGACTTTAGAGCTCAAAATCCTTCTAACTTCTCTACTGGCTGTATTTTGTTGACAGCTTTGAGAGAAGAACAAGTACTGTTA